GGGTGCAGGGCAGGATCAGGATCCACCTCGAGCGGGCAGTGGGTGCAGGGCAGGATCCACCTCGAGCGGGCAGCGGGTGCAGGGCAGGATCCACCTCAAGTGGGCAGCGGGTGCAGGGCAGGATCCACCTGGGTGCTGGATGTGGGCCAAGCCAGCCTGCCTTGGAGTGTAGATGGGAGCAGTAGGGACGGAGGCCAGAGAGGCGCGTGGATGCTGAGCAGCTTGTCCCGGCTGTTGTGGATGAGCCTGCCTTGTGGGCTGTGGGAATCTACTGGAGACTTTGGCTCTCAGCAAGGTTTTTTTTTTTTTTTTTTTTTTGGAACCGGGGATTGAACTCAGATCCTTGTGTTTGCCAGTCAAGCACTTATCCTACTGAGCCATCTCCCCGGCCCCCTCTCAGTAAGGTTTGATAAGGCTCCAACATATACGTGACTACTGGGTTTAAGACCAAATGAAGGGGGCGGGGGAGATGGCTCAGTGGAATAAGTGCTTCCCTGGCAAGCACAAGGGCCTGAGTTCAATCACCGGTTCCGGGGGAAAAAAAAAAAAAAAGACCAGATGATACAACCGTAGGAAAATCACCAAAGGTCCCTCCTAATAACAGGGAGAGGATGGAGCTAGAGCCAGACTGGCTGAGGAGTGAGGACATGAAAAATATCTGGTTCACTGATGTCTGTGGGTTTTCTTTGTTTTTGTTTGAGACAGAGTCTTGCTATATAGCCCACGCTGGCCTTAGCTTTGAAGCAGTCTTTCCTCTTCCTGAGTGGCAGGAATATAGGCTTGTAATATCACAGAATATATGTTTTGAAAATTGCTTCAGTGGGATTTCTGATATATTAAATACGGAGTTAGCTGGATGTAGTAGCGCACACCTACAGTTCCAGCACTCAGAAGATGGAGACAGGAAGATCACTATGAATTCAAGCCCAGCCTGGGTCACATAGTGAATTCCCCCTGGAAGGATCCAGGAACTGTCAACCAGGAGAGATGAACAGGTTTGGAGAGGTAGATGGGAGGTGAGTGCTCACCATGTCCCACGCAGGTGTGAGATGCTGGAAGATACAACTCAAGAGGACAGCAAGCACTGAGACAGCAGTTAAAGCAAGGAAAGCTAAAAGAGGTACAAAAAGCACAAGGAAAACTGCTGGGAATTGTGGATTTTTAAATATTTTGGGACTGAGAAGGAACAGGAGAGACTTGGAAAGTCTGCTCAGGAGGAGTGAAGCCCGGCTCTCCTGTTTCAGGAAGTAGATGATCCAAGTGTCAGTATTATTCCTAGGAGAGTGACTGAGAAAACAGGTATCACCAATACATAGGGGCTGTTGGTGGCCCTGCAAGATTCTGACAGTGGTGGACTGGAGAATAGATGAAGTGAATTTCAGTGTAAATATAAGGGTTGGCCATAAAAGGGACCAGTGGAATGCAGCACAGATAATAGGGCTGAGACATTTTTTAATGGAAAGTTTTCAGAAATTTACAAAGTAGAAAGCGATGATGATCCCCATTTCCCTTTACATTACAGACTCTTACAAGACAAAATCATTCTCCTTTAATCTCTTTGTAAGTCCCACCCCTTAGAGATCTGATATCCATGGATTTATCAGCATGTGTGGTGAGATGAGCAATCAACAAATTAACAACCTACTGGTAGTCCATGGCTCAGCAGAGAGCACCAGCCTAGCACGCACAAGGCCCTGGGTTCAACCCTCCTCACTGGCCAACAGGCCAAAAGTGATTCCATTTGTCATCTCACTTATTTTTGTTGTTTGCTACTTTCCGTTTGCTTTGGCCCCTAACTGAAGGAAGAACTCCTCATTGGTGTCCTTCACCCTGTTCTAAGACTCCCTTTTTTAAACTCTTGCTGCCTCCTCATTGTTTTATTTTTATTTTTTTAAACCCATAGAGAGAACCTGTGCATAATTTGCCAACTTAAATGTCTTCACATCTAAGAGAATACAGTATCTGATGGTTTCATTTTTAGTTTGATGGCTTCATTTTTTGATATTGATATTGATCTGAGGCAGTTGTTGTTAACCTGAGGTACTGATTGTAAAGTTCCCTGTTGGTTTTCTACCTAATGGTCCAAGAAACAGTCATGATCTTTGTCTGTAGTCTTCATTTCACAGCAATTAAAAATCCTGTCATTCTTTCGTCAGTTGGATTTGTTTTAAAAAGATTGTCCTTAACAATAATTTGGTACAAAGAGGCAAAATAAATGCTTAAAGCAGCATGGTGGTCAGAAGGCTGAGGCAGGAGAATCCAAAGAAAGACTATGTATGGGGATGGGGAGATAGCTCAGAGGGCTAAGTACCTATCTGGCAAGCACCAGGACTCGAGTTCGATCCCCAGCCCTACATGCCATACAGTCTTGGACCCAGATGTAGGCACCAACCATATGGCCCTGGAACCAGGCATGGTGGCTCACACCTGTAATCCCAGAACTCGGGAGGTTGAGACAGGAGGATCCCTGTGAGGTGAGACCAGCCGGGGGGCTACAAAAGTGATCACAAGACGAGCCTGAACTGCATGGTGAGATCCTGTCTTTAAAAAAAAAAAAAAAAAAAAAGAGTGTATGTAGCCAGGTACAAAGGGCTCAATCTCTACTTCCAAAAAAGGGCGTATTTGCCTTTTATTACTTCTCAGAGCACAAGTTGCTTTCTTTTCTTTCTTTTTTTGTATTTAGTACAGGGTCTGTAGGGTCTTACTACACAGATTGGATTTAGCGATCCTCCTATTTCCAGCGCCGGGATTACAGGTGCACGCGCAGTCTCAGTCGATGTCTCAGTGCAGCACGGCTCGCCCAAGATTGAACCCCCGTCCCTGTGTCTGCCTAAGCAGGCACTTTAATCACAGGTTGCTCTTCAAGTGTCTTCAAGTGTATTGGATTGGAAAATGCTCAACTGTGTCATTTTGGTTTCACAAATATTTGAGCATATGTTGTTGGTGCAAGTTGATTGGGCTTGCTTTCCCGCAAAATTTTAAAGTGTTTCAAAATGTTCAGATTGTCCCCCCTCTTTGATGTGTAGAAACCCTTCAAAGTGCCAATCCTATTTTATTTTATTTTTTTTATTTATTGGATATAGGGTCTCACTACGCAATCAGACTTGTAGTGATCCTCCTGTCTCAGCCTCCCCAGCCCTGGGATTACAGGAGTGCACCACCACTCCCAGTTTTGGGGCCCGGACATCCTGCCCGGGTTTCTGGGCAGGCATGGTATGCTGTGCCAGGGATCAAGCCCGGGTTCTTGGGCTTGCCAGGCAAGTACTTAGACTGCTGAACTATCTCCCCAGCTGCTAGCTGTTTTTAATAGCTTTCTTAGTCTCTGTTACGAGATGTTCCAGGTTTATAGATTTTCTGCACCATATCTAAAACTATTTTTCTAAGGTGCCCATAGAGGGTGGGGTATTTAATTTATTCTGATATTCTCACCTAGGATTTTTTTCTTTTTTCACCTAGGATTTTGAAGAGGGCTAGGGTGTGGCCCAGTGGTAGACCAAGTATGAAACTTGTAAGAGGCTCTGAGTTCAGCCCCAAGAACCTACCCCCACCAAAAAAAAAAAAAAAAAAAAAGAATCATACCTAAGTGGTCCTTAGGTTACTTATTTGCATATCTGAAACACAGGTTTTCTTTTTTATAAGATGATACAATAAAATGACAGGTGTTATGTGAAGCTAAAAAAGATTCCAAAGAGAAATACTAAAAGTGAGGCAGTTATCATTTCTTATTGTTTGTAGCTCTGTTCCTTCCTGACATTTAACTTTTACTGCTATGACTCTATCTGGTTTCATGCTGCTTAAAATGAGCTATCAGATAATTTTTATCTCCTGTGCCTCTAGTATTCCTTGATATTAGTGGCCTTATGTACAATGTTTTGTCCATAGTCTCCAGTCTTTTTGCAATCTTATGTATAATTTTTTTTTTTTTTTTTAATATCCATCTTGAAAACTCATTACTTAATAAGCTTTCCCTTTAGCCAGTATGGTTGACCCACTCACTCAGGAGACAGACAGGAGAATCACCACAAGTTGGAAGCCAGCCTGGGCTACATAGACTGTGTCACAAATTGTTTTTTTCTTTCAATTATTTACATGAGTTGACAATTTAACTTCAATAATGATGCACACACCACTGATAGTTTCGTTGTGTAGCTGCTGTTTTGCATGCATGGATGAATGTGTGCACTAGTGTTAGGGATTAAACCCAGAGGCTTTGCCCTGAACTAATCCCCTAATGCTGTTTTTATTTTGAGACTGGGTATTACTAAACTGCCTAAACTGGGCTCCAAAATTTTAATCTTCTAGCCTAAGCCTCCTGTAATGCTGATTTCAGGCATGTTCCCCAATATCTGGTAATATTATTTTTTTATTTTGGTTAGTATTTGGTTTTTTAAAAGAAAGGTCTCATGCAGTTCAGGCTGGCTTTAAACTCTCTTAGGCCCGGCTCCAACTTGCAGCAATCCTCCTGCCCCAGCCTCCCCAGTGCTAGGATTTTTTTTGAACCAGGGATTGAACTGAGACCCTTGTACTTGCCAGGGAAGCGCTTATTCCACTGAACCATCTCCCCGGCCCCCCCAGTGCTAGGATTACAGGCATGCACCACTGTACCTGGTAAGGTACAAGAATCCCTTGAAAAGAGACTTACAGATCTGAAGTTGGTCAAATTTTAATTCCCCCCCCCCCCCTACTGGGGATTGAACTCTGGACCCCATGCTTGCCAGGCAAGTGCTTATTCTACTGAGCTATCTCCCCGGCCCTAGTCAAATTTTAGTGCTATGTGACTTTTAAAAAAACATGACTGCTTCTTTTCCCTCTTGAGGCTAAAATTTATGTCTTTTGAATTTCCAAAAAAATAGAACTTCAAAACAAGAGTTTCTTCAAAAAAAATGCTTACTTTTGACTTGAGGCTTCTGATAATTATGTTAAAATAAATTATGCCCAATTACCAATGTGGTAGTAATGATCTACCACTTAGCTTCCTTTGCAATGAAGTTTTGTATTACTTTTTTCCCCCAATAATTGACCTTACAAGTCATGAAGCTTTTATTAAAATATTTATAAATTGTTGCTTATTTTTCTTTTCCAAAAACAAATCATGAAATACCTAAAAGGCATTAAAACATCTCTTTTGGAAATTATTGTCCTGTATCACTATGTTAACCCTTGCATAGTTATTTCATTTTTTTAATATTAATTTTATAGGGCTGGTGAGATGGCTCAGTGGTCTAAAGCACCTATTTAGAACAAGCTTAGCAAAGCACGGGGACTGCAGTTCAATCCCCCAGCGCCACATGCCAGCCCCGCCCCCT